AACCTCCCACCCACACGCACACACAAAAATACACACACACACACACACACACACACACACACACACACACATACACACACACACACAAATACACAAACACACAGTTTCACATTCTTTCTCACCAACACACATGCATAAATCCACACACAAATCCACACATTCAAACACACATTTTTCATGTTTTTGTGAATTGTGGGGACATTCCATAGATTTCCATTGTTTTTATAGCGTACAAGCTGTATTTTGTAATGCCCTAACCCCAGCGTACCCCTAAACTCAACCCTCACAGGAAGCTGGAGAGTTTTACTTTCTGAAAATACAACTCATTCTGTGTAATTTATAAGCTTTTGGAGAAATGAGGACATTAGCAACATCCTCATATTTCACCACCTACTTGTAATACCCGTGTCATACCTGTGTCATTATACAGATTTGTGTCCCGATATGTCTCACACAAGCACATAAATGCACACACAAGCACAAATACACACACATATGCGCACACATTCACATAAATACACACGGATATATGGAAACAAATGTACTCAGAAACATGAATGCACAAGGACATTAAGCCAAAGTACACAGACACACAAACACAAACAGTGTTGAGGAGTAGTTACATGCATTGGCGTTATGTATTTAATTACAAAATAAAAGCAACAGTAATTCATTACAGTTACTGAGAAAAAAAAGGTGTAATTAAATTACAGTTACTTATGAAAACATTAAAGATTACAAATGGGGTTACATCTAAATATGTTAAATAATATTACTCTGTTACTTTGCCAGTTTTTGACATGCACCTTGCCTTCTGCTTAGGCCAATTATTAAAGCGCTGCTCTTCTGATGCTTTTGATTGTGGCGCACCTCGTCTACCTGTTACCTGCCGCTGAAAGCATTGTGACGCTTCAAGTAGAGATGCTACTAGCTTAACTACATTTCTTAGTAGTGTGGCGGTAGCGTCGCTACTTTCTAAATTAAAAAGCTTATCAGTAGCGAAGCTATTTTATTAGTGATGTAGCGCATGGTTATCCGAAATAACCATAAATAATTAGACAAAACTTGCTGTGTGAAAAATCAGATGAAGACATCATTACACCTAATGATTACTACATTCATTTACAGTGGAATATACAGGGTATTTCAGAATATATCACTGTCACTTTTGGTGAAAAATAATATTTAACATTTAACCATGTATGGTATAACTATTACCACATTTTGGAACCAACTTTATGAGCAAAAAACAAAATGGATAATGTCATGCAGTATAATATGCATAATCTGTATTTTTGCACATGAAAACGGTCACCATAGACACACTTAAACTTTGACTCATAGCATTTTCTGTGCACATGCAGTAGTTTTTTGTGTGCATTTGGGTTATTTTGTGCACATAAATTGCTGTTTTTTGTGCATTTGGGTTATTTTGTGCACATACATAGTTGTTAAATAGTTGTTTTGTGTGCATTTGGGTTATTTTGTGCACATAAATAGTTGTTTTGTGTGCATTTGGGTTATTTTGTGCACATAAATAGTTGTTTTGTGTGCATTTGGGTTATTTTGTGCACATAAATAGTTGTTAAATAGTTGTTTTGTGTGCATTTGGGTTATTTTGTGCACATAAATAGTTGTTTTGTGTGCATTTGGGTTATTTTGTACACATAAATAGTTTTTTTGTGTGCATTTGTGTTATTTTGTGTACATGCATTAGTTATTTGTGTGCATTTGGGTTATTTTGTGCACATAAATAGTTGTTTTGTGTGCATTTGGGTTATTTTGTGCACATACATAGTTGTTAAATAGTTGTTTTGTGTGCATTTGGGTTATTTTGTGCACATAAATAGTTGTTTTGTGTGCATTTGGGTTATTTTGTGCACATAAATAGTTGTTTTGTGTGCATTTGGGTTATTTTGTGCACATAAATAGTTGTTTTGTGTGCATTTGGGTTATTTTGTGCACATAAATAGTTGTTTTGTGTGCATTTGGGTTATTTTGTGCACATAAATAGTTGTTTTGTGTGCATTTGGGTTATTTTGTGCACATAAATAGTTGTTTTGTGTGCATTTGGGTTATTTTGTGCACATAAATAGTTGTTTTGTGTGCATTTGGGTTATTTTGTGCACATAAATAGTTGTTAAATAGTTGTTTTGTGTGCATTTGGGTTATTTTGTGCACATAAATAGTTGTTTTGTGTGCATTTGGGTTATTTTGTACACATAAATAGTTTTTTTGTGTGCATTTGTGTTATTTTGTGTACATGCATTAGTTATTTGTGTGCATTTGGGTTATTTTGTGCACATAAATAGTTGTTTTGTGTGCATTTGGGTTATTTTGTGCACATAAATAGTTGTTTTGTGTGCATTTGGGTTATTTTGTGCACATAAATAGTTGTTAAATAGTTGTTTTGTGTGCATTTGGGTTATTATGTACACATAAATAGTTTTTTTGTTGTGTGCATTTGTGTTATTTTGTGTACATGCATTAGTTATTGGTGTGCATTTGGGTTATTTTGTGCACATAAATAGTTGTTTTGTGTGCATTTGGATTATTTTGTGCACATAAATAGTTGTTTTGTGTGCATTTGGGTTATTTTGTGCACATAAATAGTTGTTAAATAGTTGTTTTGTGTGCATTTGGGTTATTTTGTGCACATAAATAGTTGTTTTGTGTGCATTTGGGTTATTTTGTGCACATAAATAGTTGTTAAATAGT